ACACCCACCTTGGCTAAAATTGCAGCTGTCTCTTATACACATCTTATATATATACATGGCTCTCAACGAATGTTCCTATAAATAAATGAATCAAAAAATTGTGTAATAAAACAAAATACATCTGACGAGATTCGAAACTGCGACCTCTCGCTGTGAATCGAGCGTCATACCATTAGACAACAGAGGCTTCATGGTGAAACCGATTCAAATATAACCATCAGATATACTCTATTACACAATAGGTACGGCTAGAAACAAATAGTTGAACATAATGTAAATCAAGATAGCCGTTAAAACTGTTAAATTATATATAAATCATCAAAGAAAGGTAAATACCCTCAATTGGAAATTCTTGACTGCAAACGCTATAAATTTGACGTTTCCTGCTTGGAATTTTCTTTTTGTTCTGTGTTAAAGTGGTGTGTCTTTATTTGAGCCTTTTGATGTTTTGAATTTGTGAGTTTTTATTGTCGTTGGAATCGTTTTTGTTTGGAGGTTTTTGCTAGGCCTGGCTATCGCAACACGCAATGTGCTATGGATCGATATTACCCACAACCTCAGCTCACCAAGGCAATGGACCAATCAGCCTACTAAGCCTATCCAGATTTCACAACAGACCTAGGCCTAAGCAGTTTCGTGGTAGAAGGGCAGGCAGAAAGACCATCAAAAGAATTAAAGTAATACAGATCGTGTTTGATAGAAGTGGACCTGTCCAACAGAGAGACACAATACCAGTAAGAATATCTATTACTACTACCAAAAGTTACTCTAGGCCTAGGCTCTCATTACAAAACAATCAAAATGGCGATTCACAACCTGACAAAAGCAGTGAAGATCGGAAGACGGACAACAAGCCATCCTCGTTTTTACTGAAACTTTTAATTACTAATGCATGCTCCATCTTAAATAAGCAAGATGAATTCAACATCCTAGTTAGAGATGAGAATCCAGACTTGTGTTTTATCAGCGAATCCTGGATTACCCCCTGCACTGCACCAGAGAGATACACTCTACCGGGCTACACCTCTTTTAGCAAATGTAGAACCACTGGAAAAGGTGGAGGCGTATTACTTCATGTGAAAAACACTATTCGTACAGAACAAATCAAAGGAATAATTGTACCACCCGAGCTGGAAGTACAGTGGATGTTGCTTCACCATCCGAAACTACAATGCGCATAAAAGTAAACCCTTTTTATATTTATATAAGTTAATTAAACAATTTTTTTAAACTGGTCTTTGGACAAATAATAAATACCTGTCTCTTATACACATCTAGATGTGTATAAGAGACAGGTTCTAATTTGTGGAGATCTGAACCAGCTAAAACACAACACACTCTGCAACGGAAATGGGTTAAAACAGATTGTCAAAGCGCCTACTAGGGGTACCAAAATTTTAGATATTGTTATCACTAATATCCACAGGCGTTATAAACCGCCTCAAATCCTATCGCCTATCGGAAGAAGTGACCATAATGTAATTATTGTTGAACCAGCTAAGCTTTGTAACAATAATAAATTAATAACTAGGAAATTTAGACCCATCCCTGAATCTAAACTCTGTAGCCTAGGACGTTGGCTGCAAGATCAGTCCTGGGATGAGGTATTATCTAAAAACACTGTACAAGATAAAGCGGATGCTTTTTATAACTTATTGTGTAGTGCGATTGATCGTTATTTACCAATAAAATCAGTACAGTGCCACCTAAATGATAAACCCTGGATGAACCCTAGAATTAAGAGTTTGATAATGAAAAGGCAAATAGCATTTAACAATAATAATGACCTGTTGAGGAAAAAACTAAGAAACAAGGTTATTAATGAAATTAAGAAAGCAAAGTCTTCATACACTGCCAAAAAGGCTGTCTCTTATACACATCTAGATGTGTATAAGAGACAGGTAAAAATCAAATGCGCTTAACATTTTATAATAAAAAGGTGCGTCTTAAGTTTTGTGTTAAAACAGCAACTGATGGTGATTCCGTA